TTGGTCCGTTGCGATCTGCATTGTCAACATGTTGGACCCTGCAAAAGCAGTAGCAGTAGTAATCGTAGTAGTAGCAATAGCAACAGCAACAGCAGCAGCAGCAGTATAAGTAGTAGTAGTAGTAGTAGTAGTAGTAGTAGTAGTAGTAGTAGTAGTAGTAGTAGTAGTAGTAGTAGTAGTAGTAGTAGTAGTAGTAGTAGTAGTAGTAGTAGTAGTAGCAATAGCGGCAGCAGTAGTATAAGTAGTAGTGGCAGCAGCAGCAATAAGAGGAGGTCAGAAGAAGTACTAATAGTAATCTTCTTCTTCGCGTTCACCAGCTGTACACTCTGGCGGAAAGTTCTGGTTGCTCGTCCACTACTGAACTGCAGTCTTGCTCCAGAACCTGAGTGTTGCGTGTGCATCAGTTTTACAGATCTTATTCTCTTGAATACAGACTGTTGGTTCCTTGTCTCTCCGGCAGATGCACTCCGACTTCAAAGGAAGCTCCCGAATTAGTCGACTCTTACGACATGCTTTTGGGGAGGCAGTGGGTCTATTAACAGTAATGCTTGTAATGCTCGGAATTAGGTGATTCTAATCCCTCACTGACCTCTAACCTATTAAAATTGTTATTGTCGAGCTTGGACTCCGGTTAGTCATATCTTCTGTACCGACAGCTGGCCAGTCTATAAAGCTCCATTTATAATCCGCTTTTGCAAAATCGGCATCGTACGGGCATGAATACGGGGCATGAATACGTGGAACTTATACCAACCAAGCTCTGTTGGGGTTGACGTCTTTAGTGCATAAATACGATGGGTACTCTTATATAGACTCTGAGAATTAAATGGTGAAGTTATCGTTGTTAAGTCCTCAGTAAACGTTTCAGGCTGCTCATAAATTCATAATATGTATTTAATAACTAGGTCATAAGATAGCCATGTCAAACGAGAGAGAGAGAGAGAGAGAGAGAGAGAGAGAGAGAGAGAGAGAGAGAGAGAGAGAGAGAGAGAGAGAGAGAGAGAGAGAGAGAGAGAGAGAGAGAGAATCCTCCTTTCAAATCATATAAAGGGGGTTAAAACATTTAAAACAGTTAAGTTAATCCTTTCCAACGAGAAGCACCGTGAGGTGCCTAAATTTGTCTAAAACATGTTATAAATGTTTTTCTCGGTTGTAAATTTGAGCATAGACGACATAATAGGTAGGTAGTTGCTTTGCTTGGGGAAAAAATCCTCACGTTCAGTCAGCATCCCCGAAGGGGGAGCTTTAGGTTATAAAATGGCTTGGCACTGCACGTCACCAAAATCCCAGAAAAGGACTCCTGCAGTCTTGATGTGATCAAAGGACACAGACCCAAATGCTGTCCCGACCCAACCCAAATACTGTCCCGGAAGTCGTCTACCGGTGAACCATGTGGTAACCATGTGATAACCGGTGACAACAAAAATAGGAGATTGCAGAATTTACTGCCCGGCATAGTTCGCTGTACTACAACAGATGCATTGTACAGTAACAATTAAATCAAATGAACCAAATAAGGAGGAGGAGGAGAACAACGGGCTCTCCACGGCATTATGGCGGCCAAGCAAATTGCCTTACAGGGCCTCAGTCCTATTAAAAGTCGGATTTCCGGCGACGAACAAATCGCGGCAAAACTAGGATTACCTGACAATTTCAAAAGCCTCAACACAGCAGACGATAGTTGCAGACGATAATAGCGACCGCTGACACTTTCGAACGTTTCTGCAGACGATACTAGCAGACGACACTAGCAGAGGATACTAGCGCCATTGACAATTCGAGACACGCAACATTACAGACGATAAAAGCGACATGGCGGGGAGACCACGCGCTCCGATGCAGATTAGCGTCGTTGTCCTCAAACTTTTCGGCATGCGCCAATCGCCGTTACATTCACCGCCGACAGTATCCCCGCGCCGCACGCGCGGCGTTGATGTGGGGCTAAACTAGATGCCTGGTACTCACAAGCAAATAAATTGGAGGAAGTTGCAGGAGATGCGGTAGTCGCAGCCATCAAGTTTAGCTATGCGATGCGCGGGGGATACAGCCGGCGGTGAGGTATAGTCACAGAATCAGGTCCGCTATTAACATATTGCTGAGACCCTGTTAAAGCATTTGTTTCGTTATAGGAGCCGATCCTAGTTTTGCCGCTCGGCAGGAAGTCCGAGAAATCCTAATTTTTCATAGGACTGAGGCCCTGTTAGGATATTTGTTTCGCCGCCATAATGCTGGGGTAGAAGTTCGGACGGGGGCTGATCAACGATGATGACGCTAAAACAACAACAGCCTAAATGTTACAGGAAGTTTCCTAAGACAGTCATCATCATCATTCCGCGCCCTACCGACCGGCGTATGTGTTCCTGCTTCTCCACGGATCTGGGTCCCTTGTCCTCCGGATCCACTTCCACCGATGATGTAGTCGAGGAGAACCACTGCTGGGATGTTTAACTGTTATTGCAAAATAAGTAATAAGTAGATAACACACCTGTGGCGTCTATAAATCTTCCGAAAAGTTTGAAGTTTTTATACTTACCTTACCTCACTTTGTTATGGGCGCCATTTGTGGTTCTAGTAATGTCTAGATTAGTGTTTCCCAACATATGTATGTGTGTGTATATCTGTGTGTGTGTATATGTGTGTGTGTGTATGTATATGTATGTGTGTGTTTATATGGGTCTGTGTATGTGGTGTCTATTTGTGGGTGTGTGCGCGCGCGCATGCGTGTGCGCCATGCCCAGCTTTGCATTTATAAAACTCTTCCTGTGTAACTAAAACTCTGGACCAGTTCGTTTTCGAATAGCCCGCCCCCCCCCCCCCTTATTATTTAGATTGACCCCCATCCCAAAGCCACCTCCAACAATCAAAGTGTTCCCCCCCCCCCTATGTTAGGAAATACTGGTCTGTACAGTACGGTATTCAATCTCCTGTAAGGTCTTCTGAATCATGATCGTTTTCCTCTTATTCATCAACGACCTGGTTGCTGAAATACCAAATGGAATCAAAATGGCAATGTATGCCGACGACCTGGTACTGTGGTGAACCGATGAACATGCAACGATAGCCATAAGTACACTACAGCGGGCTACATATGCACTTGAGACATGGGCGAATAGATGGTGTGTCAGCATCAACACAGACAAATGTAGCACCACACTCTTCACTCTCTCCCCAAAGCAAAAAGCGGGCATCATCAAAATAAACGGAATACCCCTAAGAGATGATGAAGAGCCCACGTACCTCGGAGTCACATTTGATGACAGGTTGACATGGAGAAAACATATCAACAAGGCAGCAACCAAAGCCAGGAGAAATACAGCCATATAAGAAAACTAAGTGGAACCACATGGGGTGCCAGTGGGAAAATACTCAATAAAGTATACAAGCAGAGCATACAACCACACTTGGAATATGGGTCAATTGCATGGTGTTCAGCATCTAGTACCACATTAAAGGAGTTGGACAAAGTGCTAAATTAAGCACTCAGAGTCATCACAGGAGGGATGAAATCAACCCCCATATTAGAAATGGAGAAAGCTGGGAAAACACAGGCACTGAAAGAACGCAGTGATACAAAGTTGCAAATACAAGCTGAAAAGTTCCTCAGTATGCCAGATCACCCCATGAAAAATAGATTTCAGAACCTAGCCTTGGGACGGTTAAAAAGAAGCAGCTTTATACATCGAGCAAAAAGAATATGTAGACAAACTGCTGATGTTCCAGAAATTGGTTGTCTACTTAACAGTATTCCAGAACAAACCCCATGGAGAGAGAAATGCAAACTAACAGTACAAATCCAGACAAATGTGAAAGGAATAAGATAGTGTACAAAGCAGAAAGGCCACACTCAGTTATATTGATAAAGAATACCCACAAGTACAATGGGTCAGAGTCTATACAGATGGGTCCGCAGAAAGTGCAGTTAAAAATGGTGGTGCTGGAGTGTACATCGAAATCCCAGATGGTACTAGGGATAAGTCCGGCTTACCAACCGGAAAATACTGCCATAACTATGATGCCGAAACTCAAGCTATCAAGATGGCAACAGAGAAACTGCTAAATACCAATCTTGGCTCACAGTTTGTGGTAGTGCTGACAGATGCTAAATCAGTACTTGAAGCACTCCAGTCTAGGAAACTACCAGAATTGCAAACTCTGCTGACACAACTCAGCCTTCAGCGAAGAGTCGTAATGCAGTGAATACCATCACATTGTGGAGTGCCTGGAAATGAGAAAGCTGATCAACTGGCAGGAGAAGGTGCGACAAAAGTGTAGCCGGATGTACCGTCACATACCACCAAAAGAAAAGAATCATTAAATCAGTCAGGAAACCACCAGCCCCAGCACAAGACGACTTTTTATTATGGACAGATCAGAACAAGTCATTATTCTCCGCATCAGAACAGGGCACAACCGATTACATAACCACATGTAAACAAAATTCAAGATAGGCGTATCAGCCATGTGCACACGTGGAAAGGTGCCCCAGACAGCAGAGCATGTACTCCAGGACTGCGCCGAATTTGACACATTAAGTCAAACCTTTTGGCCAGAAAGAACAACAGTGGAACTTAAACTCTATGGACCACTGAATGAATTAACAACAACAGTGAAATTTATACAAGAGACAAAATTGCTGATATAGACAACTTATTTCAGGCGAACGAAAGAAGAAGATGATGATGATCAACGTTACAGCAGTAATGGCCGCCGCGACCTTCTGTTTTAACGTGCTTGATGTTCCTTATTTCTCAGTGTCTTTTTCAGAAGCCTCACGCTACACAAGGTTACACAAAACTTGAAAACTTTCCC